TCGCCCCCGCCCCCGCCGTGAAGAAGAGACTTTCGTCCCCAAACCCGAAACGGACGAGATGAACGAGGTGGAGGTGGCTCCCGTCCCGGAAGAGAAGCACGTCTGGGTCCAGCCGAGGGTGACCAGACCCACGAAGCCCAAGAAAGCGGCCGCGGTGAACTACATGAGTGAGTGGGGGCCGCCTCTGCGAGGGGGGGGGGCCAGGAGGGGCGCCGCGGGGCGGGGAGGGCTCCGAGCGGGCAGACAGTGGGGACACAGGGTGGGTCTGGGTACAAACGCGCCGCCCCGAGGCGTTTTCCAAAAAGGATACTTTTAAGTCATTTCCAAAGCAAGCGTTATGGGAGTGGTGCTTGGGGGGCCTTTCCCGCCAGGCAGGTATTTCGAGGTGAGGCCTTGCCCTTTCAGCAGGGGGCCTGGGCTGAAACTGGGTCCCCCTGGAGGTGCCGGCAGGGCGGGCATCCGGGCCCGGCTCTGGTGCCTCGGACCCTCCCTGGCCCCTTCGAGACTTGGTTTGCTCATCCATAAAAGGGGACAGTAAGGCCCACGTGGGGTTGCTTTGAGCATCCTTTGCAGTAATGGGGGCCACCCAGTGTCAGCTCTGAGGTCATCACCGCAGTGCCACCCGCGTTCCCCCCAAGGCTCCTGGAAGTCCCCAAATGCAGGGTGTTGTCAGGCTTTCCCCTCTCCTGCCCCTCGATGCCCTCACCTGCCCTGGCTGGAGCTCAGTGCTCCATTTCCCCAAGGTAGCGCCTTTCCTGAAGGTTCGGGGCTCTGGAGGGGTGTTTTCTCATGAGCACAACACAGGCCTGGGTCGTCCACTCATGGTTCTCTGCTTCCCCTAAGCCGGTTCCGTTAAGAAAATGATAATTTAACATTACAAAATAAATGTCTTTCTTTCTTTTAAATAAGAGAGACAAATCAAGAAACAAGATTTTTGTAAATGTTCATCCGCTTTTGAGAGAGAGAGAGAGAGAGAGAGAGAGAGCGTGAGACCAGGAGAGGGGCAGAAAGAGAGACAGAGAATCCCAAGCAGGCTCCACGCTGCCAGCACAGGGCCTGATGTGGGGCTCGAAACTCACAAACCGTGAGATCGTGACCTGAGCCGAAATCAAGAGTCCGATGCTTAACCGACTGAGCCACCCGGGCACCCAAATAAGTCTTTTTGACAAACTCTGACCCCACGCCAGGATTCTGACGTGTCCCTGTAAGACAGACAAGAAAGTAATGGTCGACAGAAGTTGTCTTGGCTGGAGAAGGCCTGTAAGTCCCACCCTCCAGAACCTTCTGGGGCTTCAGGGCACTTGGTGCGTATCAGGCCCCCCCTCCAAAGCCACATGCACGTTCTCAGTTAACGCTGACAGAAACAGCACCCAAGGTCCTATCCCCACTATCCGTATGCGGACACACCCTCACGGAGGGGAAGGAACATATCCAAGGTCACACTGCTTCTCTAAAGGGGCAGGTCGGGGATTGGAACCTCACAGCTGAAGCATGCAGCCAGTGGGCACTGCTCCTGCTCAGGTTGTGGCACGGATTCCAGAGTGTTCCAGAAAGTTCTTCGGAGTGGGGGGTGGTGTCTGTTAACTCAGACCGATCCCCCTGCTTCTGTGACGTTTATTTCCTCACTTCTCTCCTAGCCCAAGTTGTCAGCTGTGACACCAAGATGAAGGACAAGTGCAAAGGGTCCACGTGCAACAGGTAAGGCCCGGCTGCACCCCTCTCTGGCCGACGCCTGCACCCCCTTCGAAGCGTGTGCCGCCGTCATGGGCCACATCGTGATCAGTGCGTTGCCGGCCAGCCGGGCCGAGCTGGGTAGAGACTCGGGGGAAAATGCCCTCCTCTACTCTTAGCACAACGGTTGTGCCGGGTCGAGCGGGATGCTAGGCAGGCTCGTTCCCTGTCATAGGCTAGACCGGCCGTGGCGTCGCAGGGCTCCCTCCAACTGCCACTGTGTAGTGCCTAGACCCGAGCTTCTTGGCCTCGGCACTCCTGACGTTTAGGGCCAGATCATTCTCTGGGGCGGGGCTGTTCTGTGCACTGGAGGGCGTCGAGCAGCATCCTGGCCTCACCCCCCTGGATGCCAGGAGCACCCCCACCCCCAACTGGGATGCCTAAAAATGGCCCCAGAAATTGCCCCACGTTCCCTGAGGGCTAAAATCAGTCCCGGTTGATAGCCTTTGACCAGGGAGCTGGCCCAGGCTCCCACCTCGTGGGGAGGACGGGCCCGAGTGACGGATGCTCTGGGTCCTTGGTCCAAAGAGAATCCCCAGGCTGTGGATGTGCCAGGAGCAGATGCGCTGTAGACACGGAGCTCGTGCGTGGCCGGGGCTCTGTTCCACCTGCTGCGCGAAGGGGGTCGCGGGGTGGCCCGGGTCCCGTGCAGAGCAGGGGAGGGCGGGGGCCGTGGGAGGACACGTGTGAGCCGGCGCTGTTGGCCACGGGCAGATCCAGCCGCACGGCTGTGAAACCCGAGTCCCCACTGGAGTCAGAGCCACCAGGATGTTCCCCGGCAGTTGAATGAATCCGTCCGGCTGATGGGCTCACTTCGTGTTGTCCACTCAGACGCTGAGGAACGATTGCCAGGAAGGCCGGGCTTGGGTCTGGCAAGGCGGCCGCTGGGCCGCTCTTTCGGGCAGCAAGCGGACACCACGTGCCGCGGGGTCACGCGCAACCCCAGGCTCGTGGCTGGAAGCCCGTGTCGGTGGTGGAGCCCAGCCGCCTCGTGCGCCTGTGGCTCCCGGCAACCGTTCCCCTGAACGCGAATCGTGCTGTTTAGTGCGCACACCAGAATGAGAAGGTAGCAGATCCTGCTTCGAACCCTGGCGACTCGGAATTCGGTGTGCCAGGAGGAGGCTTTGCTCGGACTTTGGCAGGAGCATTAGCAAGTGGCCCCGGGGCATCCCAGGGCGAGGTGGCTCGAGGGCCAGCAGGTGCCGAAGACGTCAAAGCAGTCGGGTTGTCGGTAGATGAACAAATGCGGCAACCACGGGTGCCGGAATGACCCGGGCACGGCGTGAGGGCACATTTGCGTGGCCGTGGGGCCCAGTTGTCCCTTCGCGGTGACGTGCTTTTCTGTACCGCGAGCTCGTGAGGAGAACATCACGCCAGAGTCGTCAGTGGGAAAAAAATGATGAGGCTGGAGAACATCCGTCAGATAGCCTCGAGAACGTTCCGGAGTCGGGGGTCGATGGGACCCTCTGCAAGCAGGGAGAAGGCAGGGGTCCGGCCACACGAAGGCCACTAGAGGCCTCTGATCGGGAGCTACGACTCCCCCCACCTGCAAACACAGGAGCGTCCATGGTTCGCCTCCTGGAAGTCAGCCCATCCCCTGGCTCATCAGTTTTCTGTCCACGGTGCTTTTACAGTCATAGTATTGACCGGGCCTCCCCCCCCTCCCCCGACTTTAAAAAGTATTCACGTGTATCGTCAGTAATTCAGGAAAACACCACCAGCATCAGAGTTTAGAGAAAAAACTAAAGATTCCCCGCCTTTCCGCGATATCCGTAGAGATTTGATGTAGCTTCCCTTCCGGTCTTTTTTCTGGGCACCGGGGAGGCTCCCACAGCTAACGCCCCTCATGTGCTACTGTTTTCATTTAAGATTTTCCGAAGTCACATGTTTTCCAAAACCCTCATTTCTCGCGGATGCATCATACCGTAACGTACGACCGCACAAACATGTGTTAGGCCGTCCCTCCGACGGTGCCGGCTTCTTCCTGGTCTTTCAATGATTCCAGACCTTTGGTGCAGTACGTGGGCCTGACTTTCCGGCTTCTGGCCTGGGCTATGCGCTTACAAGGAAAACTTAAGAATTGAAGGATAGGCATTTTTAAGGCTTTCTGGAAAGGTGCATTTTCCTGGGCAAGAACACCATCGTTGAATTTTATCCTATCTAAAAAGAAAAAAAAAAAACCCTTGGAATCTGACACCTAGAAAGAGGCTTGCCCTTTCCATTTGCGCCTTCTATGATGACTGATGTTTGAGGATTTTTGTTTTGGTGCCTTTGAAACCACTTGGTTTTCTTCCGTGAATTGTCCATCGGTTGGCGTCTCTGCCTTTGACATGAATCTTTTTATTATTTTTTTTAATGTTTATTTTCGAGAGAGAGAGAGACAGAGTGTGAGCGGGGCAGGGGCAGAGAGAGAAGGAGACACAGAATGGGAAGCAGGCTCCAGGCTCCAAGCCGTCGGCACAGAGCCCGACGCGGGGCTCGAACCCACGAACTGTGAGATCCCGACCTGAGCTGAAGTCGGACGCTTCATCGACGGAGCCACCCAGGCGCCCCCTCCCTATGACATGAATGTTAAAGACATGAAAACGAAGTCAAATTGAATCCACAATGGTGTTCCTGTGACCATGAACTTCACCTGGGTCTGCCGTGACTCCCTTGAAAACATCTGGAGCCTGCTTCTCTCTGGTGTCCGTGATAGAACTTCCGGACGAGAAGAACCCCGGTGAATTCCTGGCGGGATTGCATGCACACACGTTCACCTGTGGGAATCACTTGCTTTCTTCTCCATCAGGTACCAGTGCCCAGCGGGCTGCCTGAGCAGCAAGGCGCCGGTGTTCGGAACTCTCTTTTACGAAAGTGTAAGTGGCCCGTGTGGACTCCCAGCGCGTTTGGAACGGAGGTTGCTGGTTTTGGCCCGAGGAGATTTTTTTCCTTCCACCCCCTCCGTCCCAGAGCTGATGTGCGCCTGTCTCCGGGCTCACAGACTAGTAAAGCCACTTTCGGGACCCGGGGTGGACCCTCGTGAAGGTCAGTCTCCATGTTAGACCGAGCGTTAATATGCCTCCCTGCGTGGGGAGAAAGGGCCGTTTGTCACCGTTCTTAGTTCGTAAAGCACCTCGCATGGGTTTTCTCAGATAAGCAACCCAGGAACAAAGACGTGTTCTGGGGAAAGGCGGGAGTTAGAAGCGGGGTGAGCGTTGGCCCGGCATTTTGGCTTTTTGTGGCTTGGGGACAAAACCTTGGGCATCTCCAGAGCAGACTGGACAAAGGTGACTTCAGACGTACTTACCGTCTCCCTTCCCGCCCCCAGTCGTCCAGCATATGCCGGGCCGCCATTCACTACGGGATCCTGGACGCCAAAGGTGGCCTGGTGGACGTCACCAGGAACGGGAAGGTCCCCTTCTTCGTCAGGTCTGAGAGAAACGGCGTGGAGTCTTTGAGGTAACTGTCCCGTGCTCAGGATTCCTTAACGCTTTTCTTTTTCTTTTTTGTCCCTGGTTATGAAAGTATTGTCGAAATTTTGAAAAGTACCGAACGATATGAAGAAGCAGGGAAACAAACCGCCACGGTGAACTTGAACGCCATAGCTCAGACATCACCCCGTAGGCGTTTCACCACCTCTCACCCGCGTGGGTTTTTCTGGGCGTGTGTTTAAGTGTTTAATTCGGCTGAGTTTCAACTCCTGCTTTTCCTCCCATCCTTGGGTTTAGAGGCTGACTCTTGACAGACCTGGTGCTCCCGCCCCTGCTCTGTGACCTTGGGCGGGTGTCTTCACCCTTCTGGGTGACGGCGTCTCGCTGGGGAAAGAGGGCCATGGTAGGACCCGGCTGGTCCACACGGGTGTAGGCAGCCAGTTTTTTAAACGACGCAGCTCTCCCACAGTCGCTAGGAAAGATGTGTCGCCCCTGGAAAGGCCCCTCGTGCCCAGGAGTCCCCTCCCCCCATCCAGGACACCTAGAGCCTGGCCCAGCAGGGACACCGGGGCCCCTGCCCCAGCTCCCTGCGTCCCTGGGCCACGGTGCCTCGCATCAAGAGAGCCTCCCTGCGTCAGGGCCCGTCCCGCCTCTGCAGCCAGGGTCACAGCGGCCAAAGCGCCTGTGTGTGTTCCAGGGGGTTCCACGCAGAACATTTCAAAAACCGCATGAGTCATTCCCCTTTGAAAGGTCTGGTTCTTCAAGAGGGCTCGCAAGATTCCCTCTTTGCCTTAGCTGGGGTCTCAGGGGCCACGTCACCACGAGAGTGAGGATGTCTAAACAGAAGCAGAGAATGCGTTCGCGGAGGCCCAGTGACCTAACGCCAGCCACTGCGCCAGGCTCAGCGGGGGCACCGAGGGCACTGTGGCCGGCCGGGTCTGCGCCCCGCGTGGCCCGCACAGCTTGTCCCGGAGCCGTGTCGGGGCCCTCCTGGCGGCCAGCTTTGCGTCTGGAGGGCAGTTCTTTGCGTCCCAGGGAGTCTGCCAACCTCGACACAAAGAGAACAGAAGTTTTATTTCTCCAACCTCTAATTGAAACATAGTTATTTCCTGCTGGCGGAGTGTTGGTCCCCAACGGGAGTAGGGGTGAGGGGTCTGCAAACGTCTGCCGTCACGACCCCGGAAAGACAGTGGCTGGAAGACAGTTTCTGCTTCGAGTGCATTCGCGAGGAAGCGCAGCTCTTACCCAAAGGCAGATTCATTTTTTTCCCCCTGTTTATTCATTTTTGAGGGAGAGCGTGAGCAGGGGAGGGGCAGAGAGAGAGAGTGGGGGACAGAGGATCCCACGCGGGCTTCCTGCTGACCGCAAGCGAGCCAGATGCAGGGGTTGAACCCACAGACCCCGAGATCATGACCTGAACTGAAGTCGAGGCTCAGCCGGCCGAGCCACCCAGGGGCCCCACACATTCCTTTTGATGCTTTGGTAGCGATCCCACCAATAACCGATTTCCCGTTAACCTTTTAAGTTTATGGTCTGCATCTTAAAGTCACTATTCTGAGCAGGACACCAGCCTGCCCGAGGGGCTCTTGGCACAAAGTAGGTTGACACACCCCCCTCGAGAATGGTCTAAGGGCTTTCACGCTGCTGGGAGACGAGTAGGGAAACACAAAGTTGAGTCCGAAATGAAACAAACGTGGCACTTTGTTTCAACAACCCTGCGCCTTTAGAAACAATTCTGTTTGCATTGAACCTCCTGCTTTCCTCTCCAGCAGGTACAAACCTTCCAGCTCGTTCATGGTGTCCAAAGTAAAAGGTAAGCTGGCCGGGTCTTTTTTATTTTATTTTACTTTCAATGTTTACTTTGAGAAAGAGGGAGTGTATGAGGGGGGAAGGGTGGAAAGAGAGAGGGAGACCCGGAATCCGAAGCGGGCTCCAGGCTCCGAGCGGTCAGCACAGAGCCCGACGCGGGGCTCGAACCCACGGACCGCGAGATCATGACCTGAGCTGTAGTCGGCCGCCCAACCGACTGAGCCCCCCAGGCGCCCCCTGGCCAGTCTTTTTTTTTTTTTTTTTTTTTTACGTGATCGTAATACGCAGGTGATCTTGGGTTTCCCTGGAGATGTCATTCTCCTGAGCTGTTGCCTTAATGTGAATCCTGCCTCTTAACGCTGCGGTCCTCAGCATCGTAAAGGGTTTTTAAAGAGGTTCCTGACGATGCTGATTCTTTAACTAGTTTCTAAACGTATCTGCACCTGGCATCGGCCCTAAATCGCTAAACGGGCGACACAGGCCCCGGGGGTTCCCAGCTGAATGTCCCAGAAGTCCTAATGCCTGGGTCTGGAGCAGCCAATAGGTTGTAGACGGAGAGTCTGTTTCTGTTGGTTGGCGATGGTGGGTGGAGTATTGAGTAGGATTCTGCAGCCTTGTTCTGGGCTCCTCAGAAAACAGGCCTTGATAGATTAGTAATGTCTGCCCTGAACGACAGAGGGGAAACTTGAGGAAGCACGCGGCCCGTCCGTGCCCTCCCCGGCTTCGCTGTATAATCCTGTCTACGGTGCGTTCGCTTGGCGGGGGAGGGCGTACCCCTGGGGGGCGTCCTGCGGACACAAGCGGAGCCTTGGGTTCTGGTCATGCAGAAAGAGCGCTTGACTGGGACAGTCTCAGGGGAGCCGAGATGTAGGGGCGCCCCGCCCGGCACCTTCCTCGGGAAGCTGGCCCGACAACCCCTTCCTTTGGGAAAGCGATTCTTGGCTTGTCACAGGCCCTGGATGCAAGAATATTTCATTAGGTGTCTTTATAAGAACACATAGCAGCTTTTCTCCTTATTACAAAATAATGCCTATTCATTCCAGATAATTTAAAAATACAAAGGCGCCTTAAAAAAAAAAAAAAAAGGATTTGACCAGACTCCGCCACTTACAGATAACATTGTGAACGTTTTGGTGGATACTTCTGAAGGTGTTTTCCCTCCGATTACGAGTATATGCCCTGGTAATACATTGATACACTTTCAAAAATTGAAACAGAATTACATAAGTTTGGTAACCTGATTTTTCTCTTCAAATAATACTGTATCAGGAAGATACTTCTGTGCCTTTAAGTGGTGTTCTAAACCCAATTAAAAAAAATATTTTAATTATTTTTTTAATGCTTTTATTTATTTTTGAGACAGAGAGAGACAGAGCATGAGCAGGGGAGGGGCAGAGAGACAGGGAGACACAGAATCCGAAGCAGGCTCCAGGCTCTGAGCCATCAGCCCAGAGCCTGACGCGGGGCTCGAACTCATAGACCGTGAGATCATGACCTGAGCCGAAGTCGGACGCTTAACCGACTGAGCCACGCAGGCGGCCCATGAACCCAGTGTTAATGACCTCATCTGCCTGCCATGATACGGCGGCCCCTGGTGTAGTGAACCAGTCCCCTTTGTTGGATTGCTACATCGATCCCCGACCCACCCAAATGATAGGCGGGACCACGGGTTGGCGATCTGCCACCCTCAGGGGCGAATCCTGCCTGCCCTCTGTCTTTGTAAATAAAGTTTTATTGGCACACAGCCACGCCCATTCGTTTACACGTCCTCTGTCGCTGGTTTCAGCCATAACAGCAGAGTTGAGTGGTTGCAACGTAGTCCGTCGGGCCCCCAAAGCCAGAAATATTTAAATATTTGCCCTCTGGCCCTTTCGGAAGAGTTAGCCAAGCCGCAGACTAGCTGAAGACACGCAGAGACTACAGGTGGGCAGTATTAGAGCCCCTTTTTACCTCTGTTGTTTAAACCCACGTGACCTTGAAGATCGCTAGACTGGGAACCAGAAGCCTGGCCTCCCACCGTGTCCCGTGCAGACCCAGGGTTGTCTCTTGGCCTCTGGGCCTCTGTTTCCAGCTCTATAATTGGAATAATACCTACCGTGAAGAGAAGGAAGGTGAACAGCTTCAAAAGAGAAAAGCAAATGAAAGGTTTCGTGGGTCCGACGGAGGAACGATCGAGGGTAGTAACACCTTTGTGCTGTAGCCACGCTCAGGCCATGGGGCTTGTCACCCCTTGAGGGGCCCGAGGTGAGGTGCCAGCATTGCTGGGGCCAGGCACCTGTGGGCTTCCCATCCCACCTCTGTCCAAAGGCCCAGTGAGCCTCTTGGACCCGGTTGTCCAGCAGCCCATTTCATAGGCGGGTAGCCCGAGACCCCGGCTTGCGAGCGACCTGACCGTTTCCCATCACGTTCCTGTCCCCAGTGCAGGACTTGGACTGTTACACCACCGTTGCTCAGCTCTGCCCGTTCGAGAAGCCGGGGACCCACTGCCCAAGGTGAGACTGTCCAGCGTCTGGTTTTGCCAACACAGGGGCCGAGAGAAGGCGGCGTCATGTTGCGTCGGGGGTCATCGCGTGGGGCTTCTTTCACTCTGCGTAATGCTTTCGAGACTCACCTGTGCTGCTGAGCACGTCGGTGGTTCCTTCTTCACGGTGGTTTCCATTCTGTGCCTGGACCACACTTAGGTTTTACGTGCGCTGCCTAAACCTTCTCCGGCTGATTTTTGGAGGGTGATGTTTCGTGACAAAACGATGGGTTCCCGGTAACACTTCCTTCTGAAGCACCTGTTAGGTCCTCTCGGGAGCTGTGAACCCTTCTCCCTCCATGAGACGGACCTTAAAACTAACATGTGGAGACCCCCAAGGTGTGAGCAGGGAAGAGCCCCAGGAGGCTGCTGGTGAGGGGCACACCCTGGACGGGGACCCCCCCACTCCTCCCCTCTGCTGTTCACACTCCCCTCGGGGCCCTCTCACAGGCCCCCACTGGCCCTCCGCCGCGAAGCTGATCCCCTTTGAATGTTCCAAGGATCACAACCTCTTATTAACTATTTGATAGTAAACCCAAATATTAAAGAGAAGCACAAGGAAGTTATTTCGGAAAGAACAAATGAACAAAAAGAAAAGCTTGACACAGTACAAGTATAGAAAACAGAGGTTTCTGGCCAGCCGTTCTAGAGAAAGTCAGAAAGAGTTTTCGTTCCCACATTCTGTTTTCTTTTTTAAAATCTCACACGCATATTCTCTCGGTCCACTCCTGTCCCCTCCCTCCCGCGGGACTGTTTTAACTTCCCAGTCCCTTTGTCTGCCTTTCTTGCCTCCCGGGATCCTGCCTGCCTTGGGGCCACATGGCTTCCGGACGCCATGTTGGTTTCCTGGTCCCTGGGTTCCAGCAACATGGCATACCGTTGTAGATAAAGGCAAAAAAAAAAAAAAAACCCTTTTCTTAGGTGGGGCTCATGCTTTTCCCTGGTCTGAATCTCTCACACCAGCTGGGGCCCACCCATTTCCAGTTTGAGGTGCTGTCCTAATCCTCTAGGCCCACAGCAGGGATGTGGTTGACCGACACAGTGGTGATCTAACCTCTTCCGCCTCAGGTTATCAGCGCCCCCTCTCTGTAATAGTCTGACTCATTGAGGTGAGGGCCCTCCGCCCTTTCCGCCCTCATGCAGGGAAACGGCCTTTAAAAAAGTCTATTGAGTATAATCTCCGTGATGTACTCCCGGTATGAGTTGGCCAACCCCCAAAAATGGGAGGTACGACCTCCGACAAGCCCATATTCCCATCTCTCACATGTTTATTTTCTTTCACCTTGTTTCTGCGGGCTTCTTTTGGTACGGACTTTTAAAATTCCGTGTGCACGATTTAAGAAGAGGGAAGATATCTTTACCACCGCTAGGGTGCGAGAGGTATATATTTTTTTTCCTCAGAGAGTACACGCTGTGGTAGTTTCCTTTCCCATCCAAGTAGTTAAACCTTGACGCTCCAAGAGGGAGGGCCAGCCGCTTCTCGGGACCTGTTTTCTGCTGGCCGTGACCATCGCACAAACGCGTCTTGTTTTCCAGAGTTCATTGTCCGGCACACTGCAAAGACGAGCCGTCCTACTGGGCTCCCGTGTTTGGAACTAACATCTACGCAGACGTGAGTATGCTGGTGTTTTCCGGGACCACCTCTCGAAGCACGCTAAGCCCTCGGAAATCACGTTCCAAAGTCTGGGTGCCAGAAACCCGAGATCTCATTCCTGTGTCTCTCTCTAGCTGACTTTAGACCACAGCATTTCTTTCTGCAACGGTGGCCCTCGTTTCCGGTTCATAGCGACTACTTCCGCTCGTGTATGTTCACGAATACAGATGCAGGCGTACCTCGTCTTACGCACATGTTCTCATAGTTCGGTCGATTGACTCCTGCTTCCCCATTGATGTGCATTTGTGACGCGCCGGCTTTCCTGTATCACGAACTTCATTTCCGGATATTTAACACCTTTCCGGCTCTCCTGACGCATTAATAGAACCGGTCCGCTCTCCTCACGGTGTTTCTTTTTGGCTACGTACCCGCCTAGCTAAAAACACCGGAGGAAATACAAATGACACTAATTTACTACTTGCTGAGGACCACTCTTATCACACCGGAGTCTGTTTGACTGTATTTCCTTACTGACTTTAGCAAGGAAGCTTCAGCCTGAGTTTTCTTAGCGAATCCTCCAGAACGTAGTCTGTTCCCTCCAGTTGCCCGAGGTTGAGGGACATGGCGTCCCGAGAGATGGGAATGTGGTCACAGCCTTGCCCAACAGGCTGTGTGATTTCTTGCCAAGTTGCTTACCTCTCTGTAGAAGGAGCCAGCTGGGATTTTTCTAGTCCAAGGAATCTTCGAGATCTAAATATCTCATGATTAGATCAGTGTTGCTTATCCCCGGCTAACATTTTTACTCAACTTTTTTCCATTTTCATTTTAATTGTTCTCTCCCGCCCACGACCTTTGTCTTTGCCTCCACCTGCTGATTTGTTCCAGATTTCTGTAAGTGTGAGGTCACTAAGTCCTGTAAAGTCAAACCAACCTTCATGGCTCACCCTTTTTTTCCCTATCTTTTTGTCCTTTCCTCTTCAAATGAGTTTTTTTTTTTTCTTCTCAGAAGCCATTAAGCCCAAACTGAGTTTTGAAAGTTTAATGAAGGAGTAAAATAATGTGTATCAATTGTTACAGTGAATGTTTGAGCCAAAGTCCGCTATTAAAAGACAGACACTTTGGTTTTAAAATGATTGAAAAGTAAAGGGATAGGGCCAAGTGATTCCAGCCAAATGCGGAGAAACAATGAAGCAGGAGTGACAATATTGCTGTCTGATACAGTGGGATTTAAGGTTAAACGTACTGAGTGGGACACCACAATTCATTGCACGGTGGCACAAAAGGTATAATTTATGAAGATCGGATTTATGAGATCAAATCTGTATGCGCCAAACAACATAGCAGCTGAACATATAAAGTTGTTTTTTGAAGGTTAGAACTGCAAGGAGAACTTGATGGAAATTAACACTATAAAGTTATCTTTTGTCGTTTTAGGTTCTTTAAAAACACCATTTTTTTTTTTTTTAATTTTTTTTTTAACGTTTATTTATTTTTGAGACAGAGAGAGACAGAGCATGAACGGGGGAGGGGCAGAGAGAGAGGGAGACACAGAATCGGAAGCAGGCTCCAGGCTCTGGGCCATCAGCCTAGAGCCCGACGCGGGGCTCGAACTCACGGACCGCGAGATCGTGACCTGAGCTGAAGTCGGACGCTTAACCGACTGAGCCACCCAGGCGCCCCAAAAACACCATTTCTAAGTATTGGTGTCCCCATCTTACAGGCTTACAGGCTTAGGTGTCCCCATCTTACAGGACAGCTTTAGGCTGTCCCTAAATCACACAGCTGACACAGGCCAAGGTGAGGTGCCAGGAAGGTCTTGCTTCAGACTCTGTCCTTTCCCCACTCTCTTGTGCCTTGCTTGAATGCACCTGCACTCATAATTACACTGATGTGAACAGGCACGTGGGTGAAGAGCCCTATGGAGTGTTTGCCTTGTTCACTAGGTTTTGGAGCTTTTGGAACAACCACAGTGCTCCAAACGGAGCTCGGCACATAAATGATTGTTCGGTGAATGTTTGTTGAAGGAATAAATAAGTGACGGTGTGGCGTTAGTCGATGTTTCAATGTTAAGCTGTTCAGAAACTAAAAGAAGGAAAGAAAAAAGGGGAAAAGAGAGGAACAGGGTGGGGACACGGGGAGAGGAGGTTGGCCGAGTAAGGAGAGAAGAAAGCAAGCTCCATCCCATTTTAGAGGTTCTTTGTTGGCCTCGGTTTCTAGGTCACTCTGTATTCTGGGAAATGATGATGCCTTTTTGGAAAATGTCTGTTTAGCTAAGAGATTTATTTTGGGAGAGTTGTCTCCAGATCTTCGAAGGGCCTCATAGTGCCGCCGTTTCCGCCTGCTCGCCTCGCTTTGTGGTGAGCTGCAGGCAGGAGAGACATCGGGGTGCAGCCCAAAGAGCACAGTCCGGGTCAAGGTGCGAGTTTACGACTCGGTTGTGAGATGGCGGGCAAGCCTTTCCCCCACCCTGGACCTCAGTTTCTTATCTCTTCTCCCCGTCTCCCTCGGTGGCTGGATATGTCCTCACACTTGGGCACGCATGCATCAGAATTCCCCGGAGGGCTTGTGCAAACAGACTTCCGGGCCCTACCCCAGCGTTTCTGACTCCAAATCTGGCCGAGAGCCAGAGAATCTGCATTTTGAGTAAGTTCCCAGATGATGCTGATGCTTCTGGCCTGGGATGACAGCCGCTTTAGAATTTGTGATACTGGTGACAGGGACCGTGACAATTTTGGTGCTTCCATTTGTCTCAACTAACGGAGCCCGCATTCAACCCCGGAGCCCGTAGTAGCTCCACGATAGCCCTTGCAGGCTCTTATAACCCCGTGAAAAGTAGCGTCCCGCTTGCCAGCTCCGAGTGGGTCCCCGCTCTGCTGTTGGCCAGCTGCGGGCTGCTGGGCAAATCGTCTAACCTCCCGGGGCCTCTCGCTGTGAAGAGAGAGTAACACCTCCCACGGAGGATAATTGAGAGACGTCTCCATTTCTGCGTGTGAAACACAACGGGGCCTGTGTGGTGCACGCTCCAAAATGTTACCCACAATGACCCCCACTCGGCTGTCGAGAAGGATCGGGCTGTCGGTGTGAGGTTCTCACATTCCCGGCCGAGGGCTCGATGTTGTCACAACTGGTGTCCTGAAATCAGGGCCCGGGAGGCAAAGGGCCGTCACGGAGGGCACAAAAGCAACGTGCATGGCCTCTTGGGAGCGTTGAGCCTGGAGGACACGCCTCCGCGGGCTGGGACTGCGGGAGGCGGGATCAGGGCCCCACATCTGGCAACTCGGTCAGCGTAGCGAGCGGCGGGCCCGCTCTGCCCGGTGGTCAGAACGGTAAGCGTGTTGGTACTCACTCGTGGAGCTCGCCTCTACTGACCGTGCGTTTAGGGGGGCTCTAAACTGACCGTTGCGTTTTGGAAGACCCCCCCGTCTCTCTCAGAGACAGAGGGAGGCGCACTGGTTCAGAATCCTGGCAGGGCACAAACCCTTCCTGGGAACTGGTGGCTGACGGATCCTTTCCCCAGGAGGGGGATTAAGAAGGCTTCCTTGTGCAGACGGGGCGACCAGCTGTCCTGGCCTCCCTGAGCCCGAGGGGTCTTCCCCGCACGGGGCGCTAGAATCAGGGAAGTTCTTGCTGACCCCAGAGGCCCCCAGAGTTCTGCCTGACACTCTGGGGCCTCACAGGTCCCCAGGAGCCCACCTCGCCCAGCTCGCCTCTTGACGGAGGAAAGATGGGGCCGCGCAAGGCTGCAGCTGCCTTTCAGTAACTCAAGCGACTGAGTCACAGCCTGCACGCGGTCCTGTCCTCCGGGCCTTAGTGCGGGTGTTTGCTCTGGCTCTGGGACCCTCCCCCTTTCGGCCGAGGTATTAGTTTCCCAGGGTGCCGGGCGGCCTCTGCCACTGGGAAGCGACTTTCTTCTGCAAAACCAGCGGCCTCTCTGGAAGGGCCTGGGGTTGGAGGCCGGGGCCCACAGCCTGGAGGGGGCTCGGCAGGTTCGGAACAGGACCGGGTGGCGGCCCCGCGTAGGATTTCGAACGGGGGTTTTTCAAAGAGCCCTTTTTGATCCACCCACTCATGTCTGGGGTCAGGAACCCGCTGGATGGCGGATTGCTTGTCCCAGGCCAGGGGCACCTCAGCAGACGCTTCCTTTGCCCGTGCTGTGTCTGTGGACTTGACCCCTGCTGATGCGTCACGTAAAGTACGACCGTGCAGGATTCTTCTTGGCCGCCCTGCCTCTTCGCGGAGGAGGTGCCGGCCCGGTTGGCCAGCGGTCGGGACCCGAGTCGCTTCACGGGTGATTGCTGGGTCCCAGGCACCGTGCAGACAGGGGGCCCTGGGAGGCAGCAAAGGCCAGACCCACCCTCCCGCCGGGTGACAGGCACCTGGCGGTGTTTGCGGAGCTGGGACACGGTCGGCAGCGGCCTCGCCTCCGCTCCCTGCACCGCACGCGATCGCACAACGCACCGGCCCCCTGGCGGCTCTCAACACGCACAGGGTCTGCCGGCTAAGCCCCCGTGACGGCCACGGCCACAGGTCACTAGGTCACGAGCGAAGGCAGCACCGGAGTCAGCTGCCTGACCCGTGGACATGATTTGACTTTCTGTCTCTGAGCGGCTCCGTCAGCCTGGCCGAACGTTCTCAGACGTCCCTGGGGCCGATCTCCCGCTGACTCTCTTTTCTGAAGGCTTGCAGATCCTCACACTTCAGGGGCCTCATCAGTGGAAGCTTTTTTGTTATCAGGGGGCGATTAGAAGCTGCATAACTTTGTGGCCTAAAAGCAACACATGCTTACGGGCTGGAGGTCAGGAGCCCGATACTGGTCTCGCCAGGGTCAAGCCACCAGCAGAAATTCGTCCCTTCCGGAAGCTCCAGGGCCGCCTGTGGTTCTTTTGCCTTTCCCACTTTCTAGAGGCCGCCCACGACCCCTGCTTGGGCCGCCGCCTCCTGGCTCTGTCCCTCCTGCCTCCCCTCTCGTGAGGACCTTGTGATGACTGTGGACCCATCGGTAACACAGGCTCGTCTCTGCACAGGGCCCTTAAGTTAGTCACCTCTGCGGGGGCCTTCGGCCACGCGTGAGGTCACGTCCTCACGGGCCCTGGGGATGGGGGTGTGGGCGTCTCTGGAGGCCGTGACCCCGCGGACCCCAGAAGCACAGACGTCGTGCTCCGCCAGGCCTCAGCTGGAATCTCTGCGGAGCCACTAGCTGCCCGCGTGGCCCTGGCCCAGTTCTCGGACCTCCCCAAACCCACACTTCCCGGCCTGTGAAACGGGGATAGCGGCGGTTAGGCGTCTCACTGGAAGCGTAAACGAGATAAGAGCCAAAGGTGGTCGGCCAGGGCCTGGGGCACGGTCAGCCCAGAGTCCGTGTTCGCCCTGCTGACCGCGGGGGGGGGGGGGGGGGGGGGGGGGGGGGGGGCGCTGTGCGCCCCACAGACGGATCTGGGTACAGGTGGGTGAGGCCCCGGCCACACGTGCGAGCCACCTGACCGGTGTGGAAGATGCTGGGTCTGGGCCTCCCCGGCCCTCTTTCTGTTTCTTGGACATGACGAGGTCACGCAAAGGCCCCAGGGCCTTTGCACAAGCTGCTCCCTCTGCCTGGGTGGCTCTGCCCAGAGTTGTTCCCAGGCTGTGGCCGCCTCCTTTTTGCCGTCCAAATCTGAGCTCAGGTACCATACCGAGAGCAGTCGAAGCCCTGATTGACTCTCTGAAAAGAGCCCTTCCAAACCCAGCCACTTTGTCTCCCGATCTGGCTTTATTTCCTTCGGAGGCAGAGTTGCTATTTTGCATATTTGTTACTTGTCGGTCTCCCTCAACTCCCTGAAGGCAGAGTCTTTATTTTCCCTGCGGAACTTTCTGCATCTAGCTCAGTGCCTGGCATGTAGTAGGTGCTCAGGAAAGACTTGCCGTACGAAGGAACGAATGAATGATGCCGGGTCTCTCCGGAGAGACCCCCGGGGGAATCAAGGAGGCGATGGTTGTTTCTTAGCCGTAACTTGATCAGCGCCCTCCCCCACCCCCAACCAGGCCACCAAGTGCTGGCCGATGGCATTAGGGCCTCACCCACGAGCACGACACTCTCGATGTTGATCGCGGCTCTTCTGTGCTTCCAGACTTCAAGCATCTGTAAGACGGCCGTGCACGCGGGAGTCATCGGGCAGGAGAGCGGGGGTTACGTGGATGTGATGCCAGTGGACAAAAAGAAGGCCTACGTGGGCTCGCTCAGGAACGGAGTGCAGTCTGAAAGGTAGGGGTGCGTCTTCTGGCTCTCGACACCCAAGGCCAGCCAAGGGCATTCCCACCAGAATTCTCTGCCTTTCTGTTTTGAAAACAAGAACTTTTTTCTCTGACGAAAGCTCAGAAGCACCCGGGAGATGCGGTGGGACTTTTTCTGGGCACGGAGGAGCGTGCGTCATCCCGCGCAGAACAAGCGGGGGCAGATCGTGGTGACGCGGTGGTCCTCTATAGCGAGGTGACAGTATAGTTACTTACGGAAGGAGGAGCCCAGGGTCTGGCATCCAATAGACTAGGTTCTGCCGCTCACCAGCTCTGTGACCGTGAGCCGCCACCCCATTTCCTGGTGCCTCAGTTTCCTCACCCGTGATGGGGGACCAGACTGGTCCTGGCCTCACACGGTTGCTGGAGGATGAATCCAGTGCCCGTCTGAGAGCGACGAGCCCTCGGTAGGTCACGGAGGCCGCTCCCAAACCCGCTCCCAGTGTCGCTGCGGGCGAGGCCACACGGCTGCGTCCGGTGAGCGCACCGTGCCCCCCTTCCCGGTTGGACAGTTCAGCGCTTTGCCCAGGGGCTGATCGTCACCGTGGTAAGCAGCCTTGCAGGGGATGTTTGCACCTGCCACGATCGTTTGCTTCAGTTGCTGGAGCAAACGTCAAAGGCTTTGGGTACGCCTTTCCAGAACATTCTTCACGAGGGGTCCCAGCGCCGCTTCGGGCTGCCAGACCGGTTTCTGGCCCATGCCGCTCATTCTCACCTGTGCCCTGCTGTCCGTGGAAGCAAGTCCCAGGCTTCACAGCCCGGGGACTCAGGCCCCAGTCTTGGGGCCTCCTCTTGAGAGCCCCGTGAGCTCACACAAGGCACCAGCCTCTCTCAGACCACCCAGGGGCAGACCCCCGTCGGGGGTGTATTTGTTCTTAGTGCTGCGGGGGGGGGCTCAGAGCACAGACATTTCTATCCTCAAAGTTCAGGAGGCTGGAGGTCCGCGAGCCACATGTGGGTGGGGGGCTTCCTTCTGGGGCCTCTCTCCTGTTGTGTAGACGGCCGACTCTGTGTCCTCACGCGGCCCTCCCTCTGTGCGAATCTGCGTCCTAATCTCTTCTAAGGACGGTCTGATTGGGTCAGGGTCCACCCTCGTGACCTCATTTTTACTTTAGTTGTCCCTTTGAAGACCCTCTCTCCAAATACAGTCACCTTCTGAGACGTTGGGGGTTGGGACTTAAACATAGGAATTGGGGCGGGGGGCACAATTGAGCCCATAACAGAGGGGAATGCTGACATTTTATATTTGAGGGGGCCTTCTTTTTAAAAAAAAATTTTTTTTAATGTTTATTTTTGAGAGAGAGAAAGACAGCACAAGCAGGGGAGGGACAGAGAGAGAGGGAGACACAGAATCCGAAGCCGGCTCCAGGCTCCGGGCTGTCAGCACAGAGCCTGACACGGGGCTTGAACCCACAGACCGCGAGATTGTGACCTGAGCCAGAGTCAGATGCTTAACTGACTGAACCACCCAGGCGCCCAGAGGGGGCCTTCTTTGGAAAAAGAGTATAAAATCTAGAACGTAAAAGTTGCCGGGAACCTTGAAGCCTGGGCTTTCGTGGCTCCAAGGAGCTCGGTGCCCGTGCCGGCCTCCCGGCCTCCCGGCCTGCTGGGGAGTCTCAGCTGTACGTGGAGACGCGGCAGAATCGCATCCAGACCCCCAGGGGCCCCGCGGTAACCCTGCCCTTAGCCCGGAACCGCCAGAGCTAACAGCCTTGGCATAGTCTTTAGCCTGGGCCACCTTTTTTGGGAAAAGCCTAATGAAGGGAAATTCCATTGGTTTTAATGGGAGGGAAACAAGGCAGTGATTAGGTGGAATTTCCTGGGCAGGCGGGAAAGAAATCCCGGGACACCGCTCTGCTGAGCTCTGTTCCCCTCAAAGAGGACACGGTCTTGCTGAGAAGTGTGGTGACCGGCCCACGTGCCCTCTGCCCGGCTCACCCCTGAGCAGCTCAGCGGCCCCCCGAGGGCGGCCGCAACGGCTTCACATGCGGCCCCCACAGGTGGGTGTCCGGGGACGGCAGGGACTGGGACGGGTCCCCAAAGTGGCTTCTTCCCTGCTGTAACCAACCCCACCCCGGGAAACCCGTCATTTTTCTCTCTTCCTGAGGGACCCGCCAGGGTTGCTGCCGTCATTATAAATACCTTCCAGGCAGCCCTTCCCAGGCCCCGAAGTGCCTGATGGCCGCTGGGCTGTTCAGAAGGTTCTAGTGAGTTTCTAGGCAAATGCAGAGTTGAGATCCTGCTCCCCTTCCTCCTCGGATGCGCTCTTGTGACTCAGTTTCCCCACCTGTAAAGGGGAAGGTGATAGTACCTGCCCCCTGGGGTAGTGGTAAGGTGGGGGGGTCTCAGACCGGCCCCCCAGACCAGCAGGATCTAAATCAGTGGGGAGCCTGCTGGAAAAGCGGATTCTCGAGCCCGCCCCTCCCGCCAGGCCTGCTGAGTCTAAAGGTCCGGGAGTGGGCTGGGCACTCTGTGTGGACACGGCCTCCAGGGGTCCTGGCGCACGCGGGACGGTGACGTGAGGCGGCCGGTCGTGTCCCCGGCACACGCTGTGCGGGATTCCGATCATTTGTGGTTAAACTTCATTCTTTCGGTGCGTTTTTCATGGGGCGCCAGGACCAGGGCTGGGGTCCCGGGGTCCCGGGGCCCCGGGGCAGCGAGATGACAGGGTCCACCCTGCACGCAGGCAAGAGGCGAGGCCAGGCGGGCACGCGGGGGCCCGATGGTGTTTGGGACCCTGCTCCCCCCGCCCGCCAGCTGGGCGTCCTCGGGTGGGCGTCTCCCTGGGCTTCGGTCCCTCCTGTGTCACGCGGTTGTGGGGAGGTTGTGTGTGCCAAGCACTTCCCGGTGGCTCACCGTGAGTGCCCGGTGAAGCCGGTGGCCCTCGTCGCCACGGCAACTTACAAGGTCGTTGCGCACCTCGAGGCGCTGTGGTTCTCACACGCACGCGAGAGCCTCAGTGGACTGTCTTTCAGGACTGGAGGGAGAACACCGCCCAGGAGCCCCTCCTTACCCCCATCTTTCCGGTGTGCCCTCCCCTGTCACTTGGCGAGCCCGCACCGTGTCCCAGGCACCGGGACCCAGCAGGGAGCACACGGCCTGATCTCTGCCCCTGTGGGACTTGTCATCTAGAGGGGGCACAGATGACCAGAGAAATGACAACAGAAGTAGGGCACCGGGCATCACTATGACGGAGGGAGGCTCGGGGGGCTGGGCACATCCAGCAGGGCCCCCCCCCCGCCACCCCTTGTCTCGATGGGACCTCAGCAACCTTCTGCACAGAGCCAGGACTGAGAAGTCTCCGCGGAGCCTGTTCCCATTAGGGACCGTGGGAACCAAGCCTGGGCCGGGAGGGTGGCTCTGTCCCAAATGCCTGCTGGGACCCCAGAGCGGTCACAGTGGGTCCCCAAGGGAGTTGTGGCTGCTGGACCCTCGGGGACCTGTTCACAGCAAACTTCCTTGTAAACGTAGGGAATCCTCCAGAAAAACAAACAAAAGCTTCCTGAACAGAAATCTCAGCACACGGGCCAAAGGTGGTTCTGCTGTAAAGTGAAGTGACTTGGGTTTTAGTGGTGGGTTTTTTTCTTGTTTGTTTTTTTCTAAAAGAGGATTTCCTGAAAGTTTTGAAAGAGGTGTCTGTAGAACCGGGACATCGTAAGAGGACAGGCATCTTCGGTCTCGACACACGTGTTCGTGAAGGATAGCGGAGGAAAGGAAAGGTTATCAGGAAGAGCTTTTGACGTTAGAACTGGGCTTTGCCCGAACATTCGCGGAAAGAAGCTGGACGTCTGCGTGAATATCCGTTCAGGAGTTTTTCCTAGACCGGGACCATTTTGAAAAGGCAGGTTTCACAAGGAGAGATTGGGAAATGCACCAACAATGACAGATAATGTTCTTGGTCACTTGTTGTTAACAGACACGACCCGTGTGTACCTGTGGCATCTGTGTGGACGGACCTGCATCCAAAGGTAGACAGTCCGTGTAGCAGCTTTTGTGGGCCGGGCACCGTCCTCCCGGGGCCCGTCTGGCACGCTCTTCAGGCCACACGGGTTCTAAAGTTTCTAGTAGACGCAGTAAAAAGGAACAGGAGGAGATATTTAGGATATGTGGGATTTAAGCTGGGATGTCAAAATATTAGCGTGTATAATAGGAAGTTACGAAAGAATATGCATTCTCTTTTTCAAATAAGACCTTGGGGTCCACTGCGTATTGCACACATAGAGCACCCCCCCCAGTTCGGGCGAGCCACAGGTGCTCCATGGCCACCGTGACTGGCGGCTGCCATATTGGGCACCCCGGCTCTGGACTCTCAAGGGTTGGGCGTCTGAAAATCTCTCTGTGTGCGCAGAAGCTGAGCCGGAACCACGAAGCTGTTGCTTCCAGATGGGGTGAGCTCTGCCCTCTCCCCCACGCCAGCTTGGGCCAAGGCCGGGCGCCGGGCTCCCTCTGCTCGCAAACCGGTGGGTTTTCCCCTCCCACCTTCTAAGGTCTATACACACATTGGCACACCTGATTCCCCCAAGAGCCCCATGATGGGGGGAGCCCCAGGAATCCTCACTTTATCAGTAAAGAAAGGGAGGCACAGAGAGGTTAAGTGATTTGTGCGAGGTGTGCCGGAACCACGACTCGAACCCAGGCCGCCTCCCCCAGCGCCCACGCTCTTTACCAGTACGCGTGACGCCCCACTGTAGACAGGAGGGGCCGGGTGAGCCTTTAGTGCCCGGGTACGCTTGTTTGTAACTTGAAAAGTACTTATTAGAGGGGCGCCTGGGTGGCGCAGTCGGTTAAGCGTCGACTTCAGCCAAGGTCGCGATCTCGCTTGGTCCGTGGATTTAGAGCCCAGCGCGTCAGGCTCTCAGGCTGATGGCTCAAACCTGGAACTCATTTCCCGATTCTGTGTCTCCTCTCTCTCTGCCCTCCCCGTTCATGCTCTGTCTCTCTCTGTCCCAAAAATATCGCGTTGAAAAAAAAAGAAAAAAAAAAAAAAAAAAAAAAGTACTTATTAGAAAAGAATAGGTACTTGACTAAATAAGAGTCTGGGGAGTAGAAAATAAGGGTTCCCCTAGAATTGCCCAGGTTAACCTCTAATGAATTGCCCCTTCGCCAGCCTCATCCTGCCCCTCCCCCAGCCTCCCCCCCATACAGACAACGCACATGAAAATCAAAATGAAGCTCGTATTACACCGAAATATTTTTACATTTCACCGGAAGGCCGGTTCCCGGTCGATGCTAGATGCGGCTAGCAGCGTTCATCACCGTCGTGTGCCATGGGTGCCAGGCACTGATGGGGAAACCCCTCCCCTGATGGGAGGAGAGCGAGTTGACCACTATTTATTTTTTTTAAATTTTTTTTTTCGTTTATTTAACCACAGGACAAGCAAGTAACAGTGAAAGAAGAGACACAGAATGAAACAACTCAGGCTCTAACCATCAACCAAGCTTTCGAGACCTTCGAAGGACAAACGAGATAAAATAATTCAACATGGTGCAGGGGCCATCGAGCTCCTGCTGGGTGCGCGCCCCGACCCGGCGCTTGCCCTGGACAGACTCACATCCTCTGCCCAACGTCCCCAAGGAAAGGGCGCGTTCACACACCCTGTGCGGAAAGCAGGCTCAGCAAAGTGGATCGGCCAAGGTCCTGCAGATGAGATCCGCACTCTGACTCTTGAAATCTCCCGAGAGATCAGTAAACAGGTGAGACTCTGGGAGAATAGGCTTCACCTCCTTGAAACAAACAAAATACGCACACATATACACACGCGTGCATTTATACATATTAATACGCGTGTGTGCACACACACAGGAATGATATTTCTTAATAATAAAAAAGAAATCGCACGCTTAAAAGCCGGAAGGACGGTCAGGAGTTCCTTTCCCGCAGTCCTTGTGACGCGGGGTCCCGTGAGTCCGCGGAGCGAGCTGCCAGCTCGTGGGCGAGCCCACGGTCTCTCCGGGGACAGGCCGCCCCGAATCCCCTGCTGTGCCGTCATGCAGTCTGTGTGCGCGACCAAGCGGCCATCGGTCCCTCCCGGAGTGGCCTTCACCGGCGGCTCCAGGACGCAGCCCTGTGTTCGCGGCTGCTCGTGGGGCTGCAGCCTCCCCTCCCAAGGGGCTCCCCGCACCCCAGCCCCCCACCGCGACCTGGGGTGGGCCAGTGTCACCCTCAGAGAAAGCAGGGCCACAGCCTGATGGCTTAGGATGACGGTTAGGAGAGGGTCCCGGGGTCTCCACCCTCTTGGGTCCCCATCCTGGTGGCACCTGAAACAGGTGTTTAATTGGGGACAAATCGCGTCATCTCGCCGAGCCTGGGTTCACTTTCCGTAAGTGGCGAGAACCTTGGAGATCTCGTGGGGTGGCTGCAGGGGCCACAGGCACTAAGATTGCGTAAGGACCACGGTGGCATTGTCGGGTCGTCCAGCTGGGCAGGGCCGACATGGTGTGGGGGGGGAGGGGCGTCAGGGTGAGTGGCCCCCAGAAGGCTGCAGACCGCTAACCGGGGCTGAGTTGTGACTCCCTGAGGCCGCAGACCCTGGACGCTTCCCAGGGCGCCCTGGTCACGGTCCGCCAACAGCTGAGGCTCTTGGAGCGCTGAGTCAGCCCGAGGGGCTCCCGAGGCTTCTCCCGCCAATTCTGGTTCTCCCCAGCTCTGCAAGGGCCTTGCGCGTTGGCTTTCTCTTCCTTCCTTCCTTCCTGTTCTTCTTTTCAAAATAAAATTAGGCCTCCGGAAACAATCTCCATTTCAAAATGGTTTTAAGAAATCGATGTTACGAGGGCGCCTGGGTGGCTCAGTCACTTTAGCCTCTGACTCTTGGCTGCCGCTCAGGTCGTGATCTCGCGGTCCGTGGGTTCAAGGCCCGCAGCGGGCTCTGCGCTGACAGCTCAGGGTCTGCTTGGGACTCTCTCTCTCCTTCTCTCTCTGCCCCTCCCCTGCTTGCACATGCTTGCAAGCTTGCACTCTCAAAGAGATAAGCATTAGAAAAAAAATGTTCTAACGAATCTTAAGAAATTAAAACCCTAAAATCATTTGCTCCAAGTGTCTTAAAGTTAAGAAATCACCTCCGGAAATCCCAGTCCCAGAAACAACCACTGTGAACATTCTGGTGTGTTTCCTTCCAGATTTTTTTTCTGTTCGCAAGCACCTTATTGTTTTTTTGTTTTTGTTTTTACCTAGAAGGGATCAGACCCCCTGTATTGTCAGGCTAATGGTTTTTTTCCAGCGAGCCACAGCTGGCGAAGGTGCTTCCAAGCCACGTCCGATGTGGCCATGCCGTCATCCACGTGATGGCTCTGCACTGTCCCCCTGTGTGGACAGACCACCGCTTCTAACCCAGCTGACGGACATCCGGCCTGCTTCCCATGCTCTCTGCTGTGATAAACAACGGAGCAGAGAACATCTTTGCACAAGCCCGTGTGCTTTCCCGACAGTTTCGTAAGGCAACTTCCCTTCAGTGGGCTGGTCACAGCAGCACGTCAACCCCTGGTGACATGGGCCCCCAGCGGCCTCCAGGGCGTCCGGGACGAGCCCCCCTCCCCTTACCTCGCAGGGTCACAGCTGATGCAACCCCCGCCTGTCCGTCCAACCTCTTGTTCCTCCTCGTTACCCATCACGCGCTGGCTTCTCCGTTTCGGGGACGCCCTGAGACCAGGGCTGTCGCACCCATTCTCACCCGACCCCGGACCCCCGGCTGACGTGTTTTCCCGTTCGTGTGTGTGGCGGGGGCGGGGGGGTCTCCTTGTCGCTCAGCCCAACGCACAGATGCCGCCTCCCTGACCAGGGCTTTTCCACCACTGCGTCTACAGCTGCTGCCTCCCCACGCTGCTCTGTCCCATGTCCCTGCGTCCCTCACCCCTGCCCTCCTCTGATCCCGTATCCCCGGGTGGTTTTCCCCAAGGACCCGTCGCTCTCTGGGATTATCTCTTAACACCTACGTAGCCGTTTAGCCCCTACCACCAGCCTAGGCTCCGTGAAAGCGAGAACGCCACCCGCCCCGTTAACCCCGTGTCCCCAGCACGCGGCCCGTGCCTGGCACACAGTAGGTGTTCAGCTTCACACTGGCCGGATGAACAAATTCAGAAATGGGTTCACAACCCATCGAGGGATTCCTAAAACCCCTTTTCTTAACATTGCCCGGAGTTGCTGTGCGACGGGCGCTCCCTTCCGTGCCTGGGCGACCCAGGTAGTCCAGAGAGGATCGAGGGCGAGGTGTAGAGCCGGAGGGCGGGCGGGCTGGTTTCCGGTCCATCAGTCACACCCACGCTTCAGACCCGCACAGCCGCCCGCAGGCCGGCAGGGCTGGAGCTCAGTAAGCGTTTGGGGCGCGAACAGATGGGGAGCCACCCAGAGGCTTTTTTGAGGAGCCCAAACCTGGAGGGATTCTTGGCCTGAGACGGCGGCCGAGCCCCACGCTTGTGGTGCCGACCCCCTGGGCGACGGCCGCGCGCTGGTCTGATGTGTTAAGAAACACACGTCCCGTTCGGCGGGCCTGCCCTCGCTCCCGACGTGGGCGGGCTGCTCGATGGGGGTGCTTGGTGGGGGTCGGCAAGTCACGCGGGCACCTTGGGTGCTTGGCCGGATGACCTCCTGAAGGGCCCCCCGTCCCTGGGTCGTTTGGGGCCCTGTGACGCGGAGAACCCCCTGCCCCGTTTGCAAAACGTACAGTAGTAAGTCAGAGACACGAGCCCTGATATTTTCCCCAGTGTGGCTTGCCCTCCGTGAGGAATGGCCGAGAGCCTTGCGGCCCTGGGTGGTTCTTCCAGACTGTTCATCTGGGCAGAGGATCTGGGGAAGTCTCGCAGCCCAGAGGCCTGAGGAGGGCCCTGGAACCTGAGCTTTCCAGAAACCAGCAGGGCAGCCGGGGTAACCGCGGCCCCGGCACGGCCACTGTCCCCCTCCGCGGTCGGGGGGAGCCGCTGGCACGGAGGCCGGCGGCCCCCCCTTCTGCTCCGTCTGGACTGCCTGGCTTTTCCTCGCAGCCCCGTCTCGCCAAGCGCTCCCATCGGATGCCCGTTCCAGAAGTTCAGCCCCGGGGTAGCCAAGAGCACGAAGCTGCCATGAGGCGAGGGGAAAACAGGCAAGAATTCCGAGCGGCCTGCTTCCCGAGGATCGCCGCCCTGGCCGAGAAGTCTGAGAGCGCAGGGGCCCTTCGGTCCCGCAGTTTCCAACCCGGGCCCCTCTCAGCGGGAGGGGAGACCCCCCACGGGAAGTCACGGCGACGTCACGGCCGGGCTGTTACTCCTCTGCTCAGACTCATTCACGGGGACGAGCAAAATGCAAATGAAAGCTCCGTTTGGACGCCCCTCCCTACTTGTGAATGGCCCAGAACCAGAAGCCGGATCCCACGCGCCGCTGGCCAGCTGGTGGGCTGAACGGGCCCGCTGGGCGTGTTGTTGATGTGACTGGTCGGTCGCTGGAACCTTCCGTCGGGCAAGCCGCCCGGCTTGCACAAGCACGTGTCCTGCGATCCAGCCGTTCTAGTCCTCGGGGCTGATCCACGGGTGCCCTCAGACCCGTGCAGAAAGTCCCGTGCCCCCCGTGGCACCGTTGACGAGAGCGGAGTATTAGGGACCTGCTAAGTGTCCGTGAACAGGGACCCGGTCAGCTGCCGCTTCACTACAACCGAGTACTATGCAGCTGCCTACGAAGCCGTGAGACGGCAGGTGCTGGCGACACCATGGGGACCCTGCCCGCCCCTCACGTGCGGCAGGGGCGGGGGGGTCACGTCCGGCGGTGCAGCTGCTTTGGGAAACCGTCTGGCGGCTATTTAAGAAAGAGCCGTCACGTAACGTGTGACCCCGCAGGTGCGGCTCCTAGCCGTCTGTCCCCGAGAATCGGCCGACACGTGTGTCCTTACGGACACGTCATCGACAGACGTTCGCAGCAGCGTTCCGCCCTGGGAGCCCGAAGCGGACGGGGTGTAAAGACCCCTCACCCGGGGGATGGGTGAAGAAAATGTGGGCCGTCCCCCGAAGGGCGCGTTACGCAGCCCTAACGAGGGATGAAGCAGGGACCAGGCCACCACGGGGGATGGGCCCCAGAGACACCAAGCTGCACGAGACGACCCAGCGGCATGAGGCCCCGTCGTGTGTGATTCCGTTTACGCAAAGTGTCCGGGACGGGCCGGTCTATACGCACGGAAGGTGGCAGGGCCTGTGGGAGGGGAACTGATCCAAACTGGGCGCGGGTGGTGTTTTCTCGGGGGTGTTTGTGGAGGGGACTCCACAAGCCCGTAAAGTCACTAACAATCACTGGGCTGGACACCGAAAAGAGGTCAGTTTGGTGGCTTTGTTACAATCAGCAGCGCTGTCTTGCTTTTGTTTCTGTTGAAAGCCTTCAGTTAGCTGCGGGATTTAACCCCTGCCTTGAGAGGGTGGCTGTTACCTACCGGATGCGCGACCTGGGGCGGCTGCGTGACCTCGGGGGAGTCCTGCTTCCCTCTCGCTGCCTCGGCCTCCTCGCCTGCACGCCAGGGTCCGTCGCGCAGCCCCCGGGGAAGAAGGCCAAAGGCGCGTACAGAGCGTGCGGCCTGCGAGCCTAGCCCGTGTGCTGTTTCCGTCGCGGCGGCTCAGGCGTCCTCGTCACGATGCTGTCCTGCCGATCGGTCAGCCAGACGGCCACCGGTCGAGCCGGCGGGGGGCAGCCGATGCCAGGCAGCGGTCTCGGAGGGTGCGCTCGGTTCAGACAGGCTGGGGCCGGCGACTCCCGGAGTTCAAGGCGAACGAGTTAGCGGCCCTGCCTGACCTAGATTCCCCCCACCCCGGGCCGGCTTGCGGAAAGAGTGGAGCCTGCCAGCTGTTCCTGGCAGGGGCACGCCGTGTGTCCAGCAGTTGCGGGCAAGTGTCCCTGGGCCACGATGCTTCCGCCCTGGGGCCAGGGGACACCCAGCTCCCCCTTCCCAGCTGCCTGAAAAACGCCCTCCAGACCTTGCGGTAATGTGGCCTCTGCCTTCTTTTTCAGCCTGAGGACCCCTCGCGACGGAAAGGCCTTCCGGATCTTTGCCGTCAGGCAGTGAATTCCCAGCGCCGGGAGAAGGGGGCGTCTTCGAGAGGGCTTCAGGGTTTTGCTTTTTACTTTTATTTTGTCCCTTGGGGGGGGTGGGCTGGGGATGTAGAGAGGTGGGAAACTTCCCGTCAATGGCGTTCAGTGTCACACCCTTTGTGCCTTTGTCTGAAACCACACGGAGAAACCGCGCCCTTGGGGTCCCGGCCGGACGGCCGGCGCCTGGCCCTGCTGAGGCCGGGGTCTCGGTCCGAGCGCCCCCTCTGCAGGGACAGTCGCCAAGGTGCTCCTTCCCGGTGCTCGTTGGTGGGGGGTGGGGGGG